AGTATGCTTCTCACATAGTGTGGGGATTTGCTTTATTTACAAGTCTTTCTCAATAATTTAAAACCATTGATTCTCTAATCATTCACAATTATTACTCATTCATCCAACATTTGGCTGTAAAATTGTACCTGAGTGGGGACTTCATCAACTGAGGGAAAGCCCAAACTTTGTTGCAGTATACTTGAATCCACTGAGCTCCCAAAATACATTAAAGCATCCTCACCATTCTCAAGAAGATAAACTCCATCATCGCTGATATGTTCACAAGAAAGTGGGATTATAGGAAGAAGAACAGACTCCTCTCCTTCCTGTCCAACAAGCAGAAAATTATCTGTTAGCATGGTTGAAACACTCTGGACTGTCAGCCAACTAGAATCTTTTCACCTTCGAATTAAGGTTGTGGATGGCAAACATTTATTTAGTTTATGGAAAACTAATGATTTTGAATTTTGAATTTTATATATAAGTTTGAATGTAAAATTCAAAGTAAATTTTTTTTATTACCCTATATGCTCTTTTATTTAGTTGATGTCTCAAATCGTCTACTCGAAAATTAATGATTTTGAATGTTAATTTTTTAATAATTGAATAATATGTTTTTATACAAAAAAAAATTATCTGTGTACATCATCTTTATAATTATCATTTTATTTTTCAATTACATACCTCAAAACTTTGACAATAAAATATTAATGTAGATTAAAATTATCTATGAAAAATGGGTATATTCAAAAAAATTTAGTAAAAGTGTAAATGATTTTTATAAAAAATAAATAAATTATAATTGCATCGATTATCAATACCAAAGATATAAATAATAATCATAATTAAAACCGTCATGGTTAACAAAACTAATTGCATTGATACTTCGATATTGACATGTATTAGAACATACAAAAAAAATATTTTTTTTAAAAATTAACCATAAGTGTACCCATCTAATTAATAAAATTATCTTACAAAAAAATATTCTGTAAAAAATAAAAAATAAAAACGATATACTAAAATAAAAGTTACCCCATCAGTAAGAAACTCATATTTGATGATTATTTTCACGATTAGATTCTAATAATAAGTAATAAGTAAAAGTTTACATTTTCTCTCGAGTAAATTCAACAAAATATTAAAACAAATGATTTGAGGATGCTTGAAAGAGAGAAAAATCCAATCAGCTTGGCATCTGGTACCGGCACAAGGGGCACAAGTGACTCGTCTCCAACCACCTAACGATGCAACCATCATGGTAAACATGTCCGCAAGGCATCAAAGCAACCTCTTCACCGTCCGAAAACTCATCCAAACAGATACTACATTCTTTCTTTGAAGTACTTGAAGTCAAACCCTCGAACCTTCTTCTCTTTTTGAATGGTAAGAGATGATCTTGATCATCACCCAATTTCACCCTTTTCAGACCT